AAAAAAAAATCTGAAATAAAACTTAAAATATTAAATGGCATTTAAATGATAAATTTTAAAAGAAACTTCCATACTTGGGGTTTGTAAAATAAATAATTTTAATTTAAAAGTTCTTCAATTTGTTTAGAAGTAGGAGTGTAATGAGAAGTTTTAAAACTCCTTATTTAGTTGGGTATTTTTTTAATTCAAAATAATGATTAAAACACCATATATTTTTTCCATATGTTTTTTTTTTTAAAAATAAATCATTTTAATTTAAAAGTTCTTCAATTTGTTTAGAAGTGGGAGTGTAATGGGAAGTTTTAAAACTTCCTATTTAGTTGGATAATTATTACTATTTTTTTCAAAATAAAGATTAAAAGGACATATTTAGTTGGATGGTTTTTTTTATTTAAAAATAATACATTATTACTATTGTTATATTATATTATTATTATTAGTTTAAGTTAAACAAAAATTTATTATTATTAGTTTGATTTTTTTATATATAAATAAAGATAGAACTTATAGATTATAGGTTATATTAAAATAACTACTGATAAAATAAAATATTATCAACACAATTTTTCATTGATTATAAGACTCTGTAGTAAAGAATGGAGAGTTATGAAATTGTTTTATCTAAAACTATTTTTCCATTCATGTGTGTGTAGGAACTTTTAAACTAATAATAATTAAGATTACATTAAAATATATAATTATGCATAAGAAAATAATCTGAAATTGATTTTGTTTTCATGCATATTTTTTTAATAAGATTTTTAATAGTTAATAAATTAATTTTATATACACATAAGTAATAACAATAGGTTTTATGTTTCAGATGCATTTATAATATAATTTTTTTATGCAGTTAAAATAAAACTTCAATGAATTAAAGTATAAAATATTGAGAACTTCTTAAATTATATATCAATTAAAATATTGAGAATTAAATTATGTTTATAATAACATTATACTTGGATTATGCTGCTAGGGGGGTGCAGAATAGACCAGCTGAAGATGGAAGAGTGAACGTTGTCGAGCCTAGAGCCCGGGAAGCTCTAAAGGTAAGTTCAGGTCGGAAACATAGCGGGGGTTCTCAAGCTTAGGAGAGGAGACAGTTTCGCTGTCGTTAGATTGTGTGGCAACGTGAGCCAACGTCAGCAGAAAGGAGGAGAAGACGGAAGGCTGTATTCAAAATCTATGTCGGAATTGGCCAGTGCAAAGATAATCATTGATGCTGGGAGTTTGGATAACATAGCGTCCACGGAGATGGTAGATCAGTTGGGGCTGAAGCCCTTTTAAGTAAGGGCCTCATCCAGAGCCCTATCGAATCAGATCAAAAAGGGCATGAGCGGCGGGCCCTATGTTGAGTAAGGGGGGAGAAGGTGCCCCTTCTGCTAAGTTGGAGCTAGGGAAGTTAAAGCAGGACGTCTGGTGCGACGTCGTCCTTATGGACGTATTACATATCCTACTCGTACTACCAAGGTCTTCCGAGTAGGGTTCTACCTGCGTAGAGAGAACACCGCCTTATTTTTAACGGGAAACGCGGTTATTGCCATCAGAAGACTTTGGTTGGCTAAGGAGAAAGGGTGTTTGTTGGCATACCATTTCTGGACGTGGGAAAGAGTCCATAGAATGCTATGCCTTGATAGCAACAAAGCCAACTAGCAGAGCCGATTCGGGGATCGGTGGGATGCCGTAGCTTTAAGAGATAGGGGCGGAGGCAATCGGAAAGGCTTTTTAGGAACGAGGCCCCCCCTCCTATGTTGTAAAAGGGAAGTGCAGATCTTTATCTTTCTGCAACACTCTTCCGACTTGATGCCGCCCCTGAATCCGCAAGTACCGGCTTGATTACCCCCTAAGATAAGAGGAGGATATAGAAGCAGATTTAGTTGCAGGTAGGAGCGAGTCTACCCTGCAAAGCGGCTTCTCGCTTATCCCCATTTTCCAATGAGGAGATCCGACGTCAAGTGCAGGAATTGCTGTCAAAGGGGCGGGAGAGTCTCAGTCCGTGCTCAACGCCTGCTTGACTAGCTCAAAAGGAAGCAGCTGGAGTGTGTAGATGGGCTTTGAAAATACAGTTTTATAATATTTATTTTTTTAAAATACTACAAGTATAGATACTTTCATTACAAAATACAGCTTTATAATATTTATTTTTTAAAAATACTGCAAGTATAAATACTTTCATCCAAATCCATCTTGTTTTAGGATATAGTCTTCTAGCATTGATAAGAAAAGCCTAAACTAAAAACAAATACATCACTTCCAAGTAATTAAAAATAAAATAATCTAACCCAATCAAATTTTAATAAATTTAATGAAAAGAATCAAAGAAAGTACATCTCCTTTTAAATGGAGTAATAAATTATATACAACTGCAAATCAATAATTAGATGAGCATCAAACGGATTCAGATTAACTTCAACTGATTAAAGATTTACAACAACTTTGAAGTAGATAATTAAAGATAACT